TAGTGATTCAGTTGAAACTCCAGTCTGGTTTTTTTTTTTTTTTACAGTTTGAGTTCCACGACAGGAAATGAAAAGACGGAGCGAGGAGCTAAATGTAGATTCTGAGAGTAAATGTTGTTTCAGAGGAGCCTCGTGTTTGTGTGTGTGTGCGTCTATATTTAGCTCCTGTTAACAATGAGTTCGCTCTGTGGCGTGGCGTTGTGGGTTTGTGGATGCGTTCGGGGGCGTCAGAGAGACGGTGTGTTTATTTGTGTGTGTGGTTGAGATTGTGGGGTTTGGTGCATGTGTCAGGCGTGTGTGTGTGTGTGTGTGTGTGTGTGTGTATGGGCGTGAGCAGGGAGACGCCTCAGCTGTGACTCAAACAGAAAAAGCTGAACGTGTTTAAAGCTGCAAGAATTGATTATTTATATTGATGATTGTTAATTTGTCAGTTGTTTTGTAAAATGTCAAAGACACAGATCAGATTCTCCCACATTCAAAGCTCACAACCTTTTTTTTGAGACTTTAAAGAATCTGAAATGATAAGTAATTATTTATCAGTCGACAGTGATGTTAGAAGGAACCTCCGCCATCAACGCCCAGCTATCAGAGTATTGATGAATTAAAAGGCTCGGCCTCCATTTGTGTCAGTAACGACGCACCCCCTCACCCACCCCCTCACCCCCTCACGCCTGCAGGGACTGGTGACCTATTTCCAGATCCATAACATGGTCAAAGTGCAGCTCTGTGCCGCCACCGCCGCCGCCATTCTCCTCCTGACCGCCACCAGCCCGGCCCATCCCCTCCCCTCCCTCCCCTCCTCTGGGTCTCATGTTGCCATGGGAACGCTGACATCACTGCGGGGCAGGGCTGGTGCGTGCCAGGAAGCATCGACTTGTGCGAAGAGGCTGAAGGTACCGAGGAGGGGATGACACAGCAGTCAGCTCCAGTCGGCTCAATTCTTTAATCGTCTTAAAGGGGAAACAGCAGGATGAATGAATATCCCTTTATTTGTCACAGCAAAATAATTAGCAAATTATAATTAGCAATGATAATTAACAATTAATAATTGTCATTTGCAGTTTTTAACTCAATTAACTAATTTTCTATCTCGAAAATTGTATGTAGAAATAAATTCCTCCCACCCTCAAAGTAGTGGAGAGTTTTCATGGGGACTATTTCTCCTCCCTCCTCCCTCCTCCCTCCTCCATGCTGGAGTCCTTCAAGTTTTCCGGTCAGTAGATTCTTCAGCGGATCTGAAGACTGTGATGCTGCAGAGGCCTCAGTACAAACTGACTCTTAGAATGCAGATGCTGTGTTTATTGAATAAAACGCTGCAATCAGAGTTTCTAATGTATAAACCAAAGAAAACTACACGTGAGTGTGTTTTATCATATGAAACACATGAACCAGCCTGATTTGCAGGCCTGTCGTTTTCTTTTCAAATATAAAATTATGTTGTTGACTCACCGAGTGACCTGTTGGCCGAGTGTCACCACTTCCTGTATCCTTCATCTCAAACGTATCAAATTAAAAGCACTGAATCTTTCCAGTTTCCTGGAAATCTGTAGTTTTTGCTTCGTCAAACAAACAAACAGGAGGAAACACGACGGTGGTAAAAACTGGCAGATAAATCAATAATGAAAATTGGTTCTTACTCCTTTAGTTGCAGCTTTGATGCTAACTGAATTTGCAGTTTCATAAAATCGTTCTGATCTGATCAGGTCTCATCACATGATTCTCCTCAGATCTACCAACGCCTCGTCGGTCCTGAAGAAAGTGTAAACCCCGACACTCACATTTAAAACTTTTATTCATATTTTCTTCATCTGAGGTTTTTAGTGATAATGAAAAGCTTTGTCAGAAAGTATTCACATAATCCCAGTGCACCTGTACTGCCTGTATTACGGTACCTAATCTGTGAGGAGTGGAATCATCCCTGAATCTGTGTGTGTGTGTGTGTGTGTGTTCATTCACACTTCACTGGTTATGCTTCAGTCCCGCACACGTTCCTGCTGAGTCAACAAAACTTAATCCGCTCGTCTGCCGAGTGGGAGGAAGAAGAAGAGGAGGAGGAGGAGGAGGAGGAGGAGGAGACCGGGTTAATTACAGGTCACGACAACCTTGCTGTCGTCCTCCTCGTCAGTGTGACACTTACCCATCATCCCCTTCTACAATCCATACAGCATTAATGCATATTCTCCCATTCACTACTACTAAACTAAAGCCCAGCAGGATTTTGCGACAGAATCATGCTTAAAACTATTATTTTCATTATCGATTACTCCGCAGATTATTCTCTTCATTAATCAATTTAGAGTTTAGTCGATAAAATGTCAGAACTTTGCGAAAAAGGTGAAGTTCTTTTGTCCAATCAGCCCTCAAATGAATTTACTACTGGAAACCAGCAAATATTCCAACTTCTGTGTTCTCTGTAAACACTGGCTGATGTATTGTGAATTATTTATGGGAAAACAAAGCAGTGACCTCCTTATTGTATTTTAGTTAACAAACTATTCAAGCCAGCCGGACAAAAGGAGGAGGAGGCAGAAGCGTATTATCTCCAGTGAATAGAAGGTCACCGAGATTCTGAGAATAAGAGAAACTGAAAATAAAAATAAAAAGTTGAAAGTTTAAATAATGTACAAGTAAAGAAAAGACAACATGAAGACATCAGATGTGTAAAATACAGATTCTACTTTAATTCAACACGAGTGAGAACTGATACACACACACACACACACACACACACACACACACACTGAGGATTAAGGCCAGGTTGGCCCACTGAGAGGCTGCCAGAGATTCCATCCTCCCTCCTAAATGGATGGTGACATTCCGATGAGAGCGGCGCTCCACGGAGGCGTGATGGCTGACCCAGATCAGGGTGGGGCTGGTGGAAAGAAGGGTGGGGGGGGGGTGCGAGCTGCAGACAGGGAGGGAAGTAAGGTCAGATTAAGGCTGGGGTGCGGTGGCGCCGGTGGAGAAAGAGGAGGGATGCTCGGGCTGGAAGGTAAAGTGAAGTGTGAGACAAAATAACAAGAGGTGTGGGGGGGGGGGGACGTGGAAGTCAGACGAGCCTCAGGCCTCCTCCTCACCTTCTCCCCCGCCCCCCCCTCTGTGAGAGACGAGGCCGCCAAGGTTGAGTCGAGGACGTGATGAGATGTGACGGGTCTCTTTTGACTGGTGGTGCTGTTGATTTAACCCCATCAGCATCAGGACTGTGTGACTCGGAAACAACTCAAACTTCAATTTCACAGATCGTGATTCTACAGCTGATTTCTATTGATTTCATCTGCAGAAACTACACAACCCATCCGCTCAAGGCCTAAAACACTGGGCGGAGGTATTCGTCCTTCACGTGAACAAGTCCTTTAAAAAACATTCCCTCCAAATACTAGAACCAATGAAAGGGGCTCGAGGACTCGTCGTGGCTCAGGCCTCTCAGTGTCTCTGCTGCTCTGTAGTGTTGTGATCTATTTTTTGTCGTTTTTCTCTTTTTCTATCAAAGCAGCTTTTGTGTCTTCCTTCTCAGGGACAGTGTGTGAACGCAGACTGGGGCACGTTGTTTCCAAAACAGCAGCTGGAAGCAGATCAGCTCTAAACCACCATCAGTCTGTCAGAGCACCAGTTTTCTTCCTTAGCAACAGCTGCGACTGTAGACGGAGCCCTGGGCTGAGATTTTTACTCTCAGACAGTTTGGCCCACTATCACCACAGTGTCAGTGGGTCTTTTTTCTTTTTTCCCTCCTCCCTCCTTCTCTCTCTCTCTCTCTCTCTCTCCTCTGATCCTCACATCTTCCCACTGCAGCAGACATTAGTCCACATCACCGAGAGCCTGTCGCCATGCAGCACTGCAGGGGAGGAGGGATGGGCTGGAAGAGAGAGAGAGGGGCGAGGAGGGGTACACGGGCCGACACCAGTATTTTTCACATATGGGCTGACAGTGGAAAAGAGGAGAAAATAAGAGGAGGAGAAGAAAAAAAAAAAGCAGCCTGAGAAAGACAAAGATTTAAAGGAAGTGCTGAGAGCTGCTGGTGGTGACGAGGAAAAACAGGTTGTTATGATGGAATTAGCTGCAGCTGCTCGATGATAATGATGCAGCTTATTAACGAGGGAGGGTCGTCCTGTTAATCGCGTTGGAACAGCAGCGTTGTGTGTTTCCTGTGGGGGGGGGGGGGGGCTGCATGCACGAGGGTCCCCGCTCGAGTAGATGGCGTCTTTTGTTGTTATTGAAATGAATGAGGGGGGGGCGGGTGTTGCGCTCCACCTAATATGTGCAATTATGTGTCTGTAGGTGTGTGTGTGTGTATTTTTCAAACCCATCTGCCGGATCCCCCCACCCCCACCCCACCCCAACCATAAGACCGGTGCTGGTTGCCGTGGTAACCTCCTCCTTATCACCGGTGGAGAGGGGATGTGAAGGGTGTGTCCGCATCTTTCCTTTTTTCATTCTACATTTTATAAGCTGCGTGTTGTCGGGCATTTCTTTTTTATTCTGGGATGATTTGGTTTATATTTAAACCTTGCATCAAGTGTGTGTGTGTGTGTGTGTGCGTGTGTGTGTGTGTGTGTGTGTGTGTGGGGCACAGACGGCTGCAGAATCTCTCACCACGTCGACTAAATCCACACACACGGTCCGTCTGTGGGAGTCGTGTGAAATGTAAAGTCAGTGAATTACGAGCGTTGAGATGCAGAGATGTTGTCTCTCTGCTTCCTCAGCACGTGGACGCTGAGACAAAGACAAAGCCGGCGGAGCAGCAGCAGCGTGGCTCCTTACCTCCCTCTAGTGACTGCTTTGCAACATCATATGAAGATGCTTCAGAGGATTCCCTCTTTTTGTTTTTGCCCTCCTCATCCTCATCCCTCATCCTCATCTTCTCTGTCTTTCGCCAGGTGACCCGTCCCCTCCCCGGCGTCCCGGCAGACAGGCATGGCAGACGGTCGGCAGCCAGACGAGCACTGGGCCTCCAACGGCCAAGAGAACGGCGAGAACGGCTACTCCGCCTACAGCTCTGGCTACAGGGAGAACGGATACCACGGCGGGGCGGCTGCACATCCTGGAACGACAGGTACGGACGTGGCGTGTTTGACTCACTGAGACATTGAGTGGACTGCACAGTCCGCACGCTGCCAGATGGCAGTGAGGGGGGGGGGGATGTGATTGGTCGTGCAGTGCCAGAGAAGAGCAATCAATCCTTCCAACAGTTTCCTATTTGAATGAACAGTCTGCTGCAGCGCTGACAAAAGGCCGGAGATTCCATTACATTTTGCTTTGGACTCTCTTCCTCTTCTTTCTTTCAAAGGTGCACAGGATGGAGAGACATCGGAAGAGTAGAAAGAAAGAGAGGAGGAAATTAAAGAAGGAAAAAACAGGATGATAGATGGAGAAAAGCTTCTTATTCGGGGGCAAACTTCTCATGTTGGTGCATGTCTTGTGGTTTTCCTTTGTTAAATCTGAATCTTGAGCTGCTCTCGTAAGAACATGTGATGTTTTTAAGGTAAGTTTGTGTTTTATAATCTGCACCGGAGAAAAAGCAAACTAGTCACTTATCAAACCCCAGAGGATTGTGGGATTTCCGCTCTGCATCAAACACGCCACCGGCGTTATTAGTGGGTTATTCGTTTTTCATTTCCTTCCTTCCATCCACGTCTTGTCTTCCCTGTGTGTGTCTCTCTCTCTCTCTGTCTCTCTCCCTTCGCAGTGGATGACTCAGCCAATTTGCCTCCCTCCCCTCCCCCCTCTCCATCCGCTGAGCAGATCGGGCCCGTGGCACAAGGTACACACACGTATGCCCACACCAGACCCTCCAGCATGAGAGTGTGAATGGTGGAAAAAGACAAAGACGCCGCCGATCAAATGTGTGCGTCTTGAGAATTTGGGTCTCGAGACGAGGCAGCCACTCCTCCTCCTTTCTTCTTCTTCTTTGATTTTTAGTTTCTGCTGCTCTGCATGTCCACTGATCACCTTTAAGACGTCTGCAGGATGTCCCACTGTGTCCTGTCCACTTTGGTCCAATATCACTTTAAAGCTAAAACACTTACATCCTCCCCTCGCTTCACGTAACCTGCCACCGGAGCCCGTCACCTCATCCGGCTGCCTCCCCCCTTCTCACCATCTCCTCTGCGCTTCTTTTTCCTCACTTTGTCTTTTGAGTTTGTGAATCACTCATCTGCTTCCGGCTCTCGGGAAAACAACAACAAGTGTTGTCTAATCGTTTCCTCTGTGCATGTGGCATGCAATCAACAAAATGTAGAAGTAGATTAAGTAGATCTCAAAACCTCCGCCAAGGCCCAACGGTCCCCTGATGAAGCCATGTTTTAATTAAGCAGATCCAGGTTTGTATGTAAATATACCTGAGTTTTAAATCTCCCTGGGCCCTGGTTGGTGAAGGCAAACTACCAGAGAATACATTCATCGGTATATTTTGTCTCATCCTGCAGACAAACAAACAAACAAACAATATAACCTTGGTGGAGGTACTCATATCGTCCCACTGCATGTTTTATTACAGAACAAATCCTCAGGGACTTTCCCCTCAAACTTCAACTCTTTAAATATATTTGATGATGTAGCTTTGCTTGTGTTCCTGAATATTTTTAAATACCTAAGAGTTGATTGCATCCCATACATCGCCATCGGAGCTGAAAGTGTCAAACCATGTGACCCCAGTTTTGTCGTCCTCCATGTCTCATCCATGTGTCTCCCTCCTTTCCTGCTCGAAGAAGATAAAGTAGAGAAGGAGGAGGAGGAGGAGGAGGAGGCTGCTCCCGACAGGCACCAGGAGGAGGTGACATATGAGCAGCCAGGAGACTCGCTCTTAGAGCAGACAGATTATTTAGCAGAGCCCCAGCAGACACCTGAGGTCCTCAATGGAGGAGCTCATCCAGGTGAACGCAGCTCGTCTCCAAAAGGTGTGTGTGTGTGTTTGTGATTTAACTTGACTCGTAAATGTGCGACTGATCTTTTCCTACTCTGCATGATCCTCTCGTGCTCTGTTATCGGACACGGAGACTTTGATTTCCAAAGCGTGATGCGACTCAGGCTTTGCTGCCGACCTTCCTCCAGCTTCTTTGCTCTTCAGCTTCTGCTTCAATACCTGAAGTCGCTGTTTGCAAAGTGACACAACACAACACTTTGATTTTGTTGCTCTTCTCATGCCATTTGCTTTCCATCGGAGCGACATTAGAAAACCTGATCAACCACGTTGCGGTTGATCACCTCTCTGCCCTCGTGTATTGCCAGCTACATTGCAAATGCAGATATCACTGTGTGAACTGTCAAGCATCGTAGATTTGAGTGTATTCTTTGTATTTGTATGTGGATCCTGCTGGAATACTGTGTCTCTGAGAATGCCCACGTGTTCGGGTACTTCATGGATCAGTCTATTTTACGGCTGTTGTGTATCTGTCACTTTGAGTTTTGATGTTGTTTTCATTTCATCCCGAGGCGAAGGATAATCCTGTTTTCCTATTGTTACTAAGATCACTTCTAATCCACACTCATTGGACATGTCTCATCTTTATCTATTAATGATTCACTATGAGTCCCCTTTATAAATTCACTTCACTAACTGCGAAAACTAAAAGTATTTCCCCTGTGTATTGCAATAGGAATTCAAAACATTTCTGTTCATTTATTTCTCGTCATCTAACGTCATGCAACTCATCCCTTCATTCCAGTTCTGCACGCTGTCGTAGGTGCTGTACTTCCCCCCCCGCGCTGTGTGTTTTGCCTGATGGAGAGCTACTGTATCTGTGTGCAGACGGCCTCCGCTTCTCTGTATTGGCTTTTTGTGGATGCTGCTAGCGAAAGCTTTTAGGTAGCGTGACTCGGAGATGCACAGAGTTGTACAGTGTCCTTGAACTCGCAGCCCGGCCGGAAGAAGAGTGTCTCAGTCAGGTGTGTTGTGAGTCTGCGATGAAAGAAGACGAACCGCAGGTGTCGCCGTTGCACGCGAAGCAGGTGGTTGTTGAGGAAGTGAGTCCTGAAGGAGAAGAAGTTGCCTCGAGCGAACCTCCTCCTCCGTCTGTGAAAGATAAAGACGTGCCCTCGATAGAAGTGGGAAGAAAAGATGAAGTAGAAGAGTCCAAAGAGGTGAAAGAGTCAGAAGAGTCGTCGCCAAGCAAAGACAAACCACAGACAGCTGACTCGATAAATAAGGACCAAGATGGAGGTGACATCATATTGCAAGAGACACAAGTGACTGATGTTCAAAACGTCCAATCCAGTCCAGAACCGGGTGCAGAGTCCAAAAGCACAGCTGGGGTGTTGGAAGAACAGAAACCAGGAGCTGCCACTTACTTTGAGACGTCCTCAAAACTCCACGGAGACCAGTCACCGCAAACTCAGAGCTATTACGAGCTCAGCACAGCGGCAGAGATGGAATTAAGAGAACCTGAAAATGTGATGCAAGAGGAGGAAGAGGAGGAGACAGTGAAGACGTCCAGCTGTAAAGTGTCTTTCGAGCAGAGAAGCCTCTCGTTGAACATTAACATCGGATCCTCTGAGAAGAAGTCCAGCTCCTTCTCCGAGAGTTTGTGTCCAATCAGCGGAAGTTTCGATGAATCCGACGTCCACCCTGCAACGCCGACCGTGGAGAGCCATAACCACACGTGTCCTCCAGCTGTTTCCATCACTGAAACATCTGCTGGCGCACACGAGGATGCTCCCGCCAAAGAAGAAGCGCCTCCAAGTCCTGACGAGCAAATTTCCAGTTTCTGCCTCTCTGAGATGTTGGACCTGGCGGGAGCGCTGCCTCAGCCGTCACTGGGGAGGAGAGAGGTCGACCACATGAGGCGAAAGTCTGTGCCCACCAATGTGTCGTCCCTCGTGGGCAGCTCTTTGGCTCGGCTCGCTTTGGGAGATACGACCTCGAGAGCTGCGGGGAGGGAAAACCAGCTGGAGGAACTCGGCTACTGTGTATTCAACGAGTACTCGGGGCCGTTGCCTTCTCCTGCAGACGTTCCAAGTCCTGGACACTCTCCGCACCAGAGTTTCCCTTCTGTGGAGAGCGAGGTCGAGGAAGAGCTGAGTGTTTACAAGGGAATCCAACAACCGGATCAAAAAGCTGTAACCGAGAAGAAGGATTCACCAGTGAAGACGTCCCTGATGCTGGAAAGAGCCGTGACGAGCGGAGTGAAACCCGATCGCCTGAGAATCCCAATGAATTCATCAAAAGACAGGCTGAATGAGTTTCGTTTGGAGAGCGGCCTGACTGGAGACCTTAAGATCCAAGCCATCCCTGAGGTTGATGTAGAGAAAGACCCCTCTAGAGAGGCTTCCCCCATCCCACCAGACAGTTCCTTCACTTTCACTCCTGTGGATCCTCTGAGCAAAGTTCCAAAGACTCCAACCACCCCCGGATCACCAGAAGATGCACTGTCAGAAAGCCAAGACGCTAAAGATGAAGCTGGGAAAGAAGTCAAAACGGAGAACGAGTTCAAATCTGAGAGCAGAGATGATAAAAAGCCAGAGTTGGACAAAGACGTGACGCCAGCTGAGCAGAAAGAATCCGAGCAAATAAGTGAAGAAGCAAACAGATCTTCAGTGTCCTCTTCAGGAGAGAGCACAGACAAGAAGATTCAAGAAGAAACAGAAACGCAACAGATCTCAAAAGCCCAAATCCAGTCGCTGATAACCACCACCATCATCGTCATACCTCAAGCACAAGCAGAGGAAGAGGATGAAGACGACATAGAGATCGCAGAAGAGCCTCAAGAGATGATGGAGGAAGCCGAAGAGCCCGTTCTTCCGAAGACGCATGAAGCTGAAGACAGAAAGAAAGAGGAGGAGATGGGAGGCGACCAGGTGGTGGAAGAAGAGTGGAGTCGTAGTGCAACACACTCGCCTCCTTGCTCCGACCAGGGTGGAGGCAGAGACGATGGGACGGGGGAGGAAAAAGGAGCAGAAATAAACCGAGAAGAAGGGAGGAAACAGGACGAGGAGGAAGAGAAGAGGGTGGATGAAGGGGAGGAGAAAGACGTAGAGATGGGTCAGGAGGTGGAGGAGAACGATGAAACCACATTGGAAGTGTCCATCCTGGACACAGACAGTGGCTGGATGGACTCACAAGGTACTGGAGCTTGTACATTCAAAGTTATTACCTGTAAAAACGTGTTTAAAAGTAAATGAAAGTTCATTTCTAGCATCAGGAAGCTTGTTGTTCTGATCCCTCTCCACTGCAGATGAGGACAAAAGTATAATGACTGAGCAAATCGAAGCCCTTCCTCACACCCAGAGTTCCACGTGCACACCCGCGGCGGCGGTGGTGGTGGACAGACCCGCTAAACGGGCCCCTGGCAGAGGAAGGGGCCACGTTGGCACCGCTGAGAGCAAAGTGTCCCGCAAAGTGCTCCATCCAAGAGAGGAGATGAAGAAGAAAAAAGGTTTCGATTTTGTTTTCGAGAAGAAGTGTTGTCTGATTTAGCCATTTTCACAAATGTCGTTAACTCTTGTTGACTTGAACTCAGATTTTGCGTCTGTATTTCCTGTTGGTGTAATCCTCTCTCTCCCTTTTTGCCAGTAGGCATGAGGAGGGCTGAGCAGAATAAGCTGTCAGTCCTCCAAAGTCGCTCTCCATCTCGAAAGAGCGTAGCCAGAGCGGCGGCCAGACACCCTCGGCCCGCTCTGCTTCACGGCTCTGCTAGACGCAAGGCCTCAGGTGAACACTTTTCACCGGGAACCAGGTGCCGTGGATAGAGAGAGTGAAAGCAAACATTACTCATAAGGTGCTGCAGTCTTCATTACGAGACACAATCAGAAATGACTCTCTCTATTGATGGCTGTGGAATTGTGCGGGTGCAATGTAGCTGGCAAACATCACGTGCTGCCATCTTTGAGTCGTCCGCTCTGTTTTCTCTCCATCGTCACTTTTCTGTTTCACGGCTTCATTTGCTGCATTGTCAGCAGTTTGGCTTCTTGTTTTCTTCTGGGCTCGCTTCTCACGTTTCTGTGTTTGCTGGAAGTGGCTTCAGAGTTTCCCTTCACTTATTTCACACAGTCGTGTCCATTCAGGGAACGTGATGCACATGGATGTACAAGCAATGTCTCCTCCTGCTGGTTCACGCTGGTTATTACATCGGGGCTGTTTGCTTTGCAGGCATGGAGAGCCACCAGCCCCTCAGTGTGGCCCACCAGTCCAGGGAGAGGACCACTGTAAGTACACACACACACACACACACATGTTGTTCATCGTGTGAACCTGTTCTCTGCATGACAAACTTTTCTTTTCTTTCTTTCCTGCACGTTTGCATTTGTTTCCTGTTTTTATTCCCCTCTGTTCGTCTTGTCTTCGCATGCTCGCCGCTTTTCTCATCTTTACCAATGTCAACAGAGG